CAGAAAGATGTTCTCAGCTTACTGAGACAAAGATGGGAGCATAGGAGCTAATCTTTCAGTATCTTTCAATAATTTTTCAAGATCGTTTTTCCTTCTGGATATATTATTGCTTTGCAGACCCGTAGGGGGTGTCTCTTTGAGACATGGGACTTTGTTCCTATCAGAAGAGACACTTTTTTTTACTGCACGTGAGGAATTAGAATTTTGAGGAAGCTGAGCTTCGAGTCTTTGACTCGTCTTTGGTCGTGTTATCTCTGCTGATTTATCTAGTGAAACTTTAGAGTAAATTATATCATTTATATTAGATGAATTATTGTCAGAGGTAAACACATCATGCAAAATATTTAAATTTTGATTAGAGTCATCATCATCATCGTGGGGTATAGGTTGATCCCAGAGAACTCTATTAGCTTCTTCCCCTCTCCAAATCTGATAAATACGTTTTGTTGATGTTTTATACTTACCCATCAAGTCATTTAAAATTTTATATCTTGGTTTTATATCACGACATTGCATAATATAAGAATAATCTTCCCGAGAAAATAGGGGTGCATCAGATCATATACGTACTCTAGGCATAGCAGTAAATGTAAATATAAGATGTTTATATCTAACAAAAAATATAAAATATATCGAAATATTAAAATATATTGGAAAGATAGAATATACAGAATAATATTTTTTCATTTTTCTATATAACAGATATGTATATTCGATCTAATACATCATAACTGATATGTATATTCCATCTAATACGTATATTCTATATAATATATTACATTCAAAATACAAATATATTAATTTTTTTTAGATATCTATAAGAATTGGATAATATGCCTCGAATCCATACATTATCAGATATAGGTGAATGCAAAAAACTTGGAGACATACCATCAAACCGATATCCGCCTAGTCGAACGGAACTTGAAAACCAGCTTGCTTGTGCAAATCGAGATCGAGAAATTGCTATAGAGTGTGGCAATCGACTTGCCAATAAATGTTCTGTCTTAGATAAAGACAATAAGCGCATACAACGTAATCTAAAACAATCTAATAATGATAAAGAGAAACTCTCCAAGCATAGCTACCAGCTTATAAATGAGGTTAAGCGATTGAGCTCAGAGTTAGATAGTCTAATATCTCAAATTACCCACAAAGATATTTCTCTTAATGAATCTAAAATTAAGATAAAAGATCTTCAGTCTAAGATAAAAATATTGGAAACGAAACTATCTTCAACTCAGAACGAATCAAAGGAAATTACAGCACTTCGGTCTATGAAAAAAATATTAGAAGGTAAGTTAGAATCGGCTCAAAAAGATGCATTCTCAACTCAGGAAGAGATACTAAAAAAAGAATCCGAGATCATATCTCTCAAGTCTGAATTAACAAATACAAAGAATGAATTAGTGAATACAAAGAATGAATTAGCCTCAAAAATTAATGAGATTGAGTGTTTAGGCGCTTTGCACCCTGCTTCACAAAAAACAAAGGATATATTGGATCCTGTAGTTATGGGAGGGCACTGTACATCTGAATCTAAAAATATTGCAAAATATTTTAAAAGTAAAACATTACCAATTATTAGAAATAAGCAGAATCCAGAATCATTGATTCAAGATATTACAATAAAAGGAGCAGTATGTGCTGGCGAGGCTTTAGTTAATGATAAGTATCAGATTCCTCCTATTATTAAAATTGTCATTATTGCAATAATAGTGATATTAATTATTTGGTATATATATAGGAATATTTTTCATCCACACCTGCCTTTTCGGTCTTTGAACTCGAAGCCAGATTATAGCCACCGTATGACCGCCTCCGGCAATTTGTTTTCTGGAATATACTCACAGAGTGAGGGCACTAATGTGCCTAAACCGACCATGAACGAACAAAGTGAAGTGAATTATCAGGGGAAAGAAATTTTTTATCCAGTTTATAGAAATTATAGATATGGATTCCCAGGAAACAGTGCTTCGAGTTCCCAACTCATCTGATATACAAAAAAATCAAAAGAAAGAACTATTGCAGAACAAGCCCGAAGGGCGAACCAAGGATTATGGCTCATCGAGCTTATTTTCAAAGAAAATGAGTTTCACTCTACCACCTATGAAACTTTATCTTATGGATATAGATGAAGCTAATAAACATGAATCAATTCGAAATGTTGGACATCCAGCAATGTCATGGCCTTTCAGTAAGGTAGTTAGTGGTAAGAGTGGTACAGGTAAAACTAATATACTTGGAAATATTTTTGTTGGTGACAAAGGTGAATGTATATATAAAAAGAAAAAGGGTGGATCCCGCTATATACGATGTGATGATTTGATAGTTTGTGGATACCACCCAGATGAACCTAAATGGGCATTTGTTAGATATATATATGGAGTAATCGCAAGTGATCCAAAAGCACCATACTACGAAAATATTAGATTTAAATATATCCCACCTGAAAAAATTCCTAGCGTAAAATCATTTTCTCCAGAGAGAAGTACTGTAATCATTTTTGAGGATTTATGTGTCGCTCCAGAGACAATACAAAATCGAATTATTCCATTCTTCACACATGGGCGTCATCGAAATCCGTAATTGATTAATTTGAGATGTTAAAGTATCTAACTCTGAGCTCAATCGCTTAACCTCATCTATAAGCTGGTAAATATGCTTAGAAAGTTTCTCTTTATCTTTATTGGTTTGATTTAGATCAAGTTGTAATTGTGATTTATCCTGTTTAATATTTTTACTAAACTCTGAATATACCTTCCGGTAGTTTTTAAAATCCTCAATAAGTTCGGAATTAGTTATACAACTATCACGTAAAGCTTCTTCAAGTTCTACTTCCCTAGTACTTCCAAGTCGATATCCTTTTGATGAGTTGATATCTTGCATTGTACGTACATTGGTCATAATTATTTGATTCAATATGTATTGATATTTACTAATTCCTATTTTTAAAAAAAAGAAACAATATGCATCAATACTTATCGATACTCATCGATATTTATCAATACTCATCAATATGTATAATATTGGAATCAATGCGTATCAATACGTTTTGAAAAAATATTGATACTTTTTCTAATATACAATATATATCAATCTTAAGATGATTACTCATATTCAACAAAAATTTTATCGATCCAATGCAACTCAATTATCCGAATCTGATATTAAAGAAATTAGAGAATCACGGGGGAAAGTACCAAATGCATCAAAGAGAATGGCAAAAAAATTTCGTATTGGTGCTCGTCGTGTTTATGAAATATGGGAACATAAAGAGCGTCTTCAACAGGGCCTTGATAATTGGGACGATTCTCCACCTTCTGATTCTCATAACAAGAAACTTTCAGCCATAGAAATATCGATTAATGAAGCAAGTACTAAAGTTGCTAAAAATATAAAATCCAAGCCCAAGCTTATTCATAATTCTGATCAATTTTTCATTAGTAAAGATTCATTCAATAAGATGAATAAAATATTAGAAACAAAAAAAGAAACTATCCCGCCTGAAATTTCTCAAAAAACTGAAGATCCTTTGAAACTCTTTAAAAGAACACAAAAAGATGCTAAAAAAAGTAGAGCAGTTGCGCGTGCTGATATTTTTAAACTATCTACTCTTAATTCGAAAGTATAGAATCGATTTCTTTTTTATAATAATTACGCAAATCATTATAATATCCAATAAATTCTGAATTGGTTTGAACACTAGTAAATAGTGCTTTTTCAAGTTCCTTTATATGGATAGTCATACTTTCGCAATTTACGCATTTTTTTTTAGTGCCTTTGACTGATCCTCGTTAATATCTTCATTTGGTTTAATAAAAGTTGGGATAATGTAAGATTTTCCACGAACTGTCATTCGGAATTCATGTTTGTCAGAATCTGTAATTCCTTTAACTTTTCGGATAAATGGCATTCCTAAACAAAGAAGATAATCTGTTTCTTTATCATCAATAACTACAATATTTACCGTTATTGTAACCCATCCATTTTTATGTTTTACTGATATTGGTACATCCTTATGACCACTAATTAATTTTGTTTTATGATCTGAATTATGAGTAAGAATAAAATTTGGTGCAATTCCAAGATCCCACCCTAATGCATTATTTAATGCTTTGTTCATAAGAACACATTCAGATGCAGTATCTGAAAATGCATCTGGAATATCTATATCTTCTATTTTACATTGCATATATTCAAGAGATTCAACCCATTTATTTTTTGTTAATGGATTGATAATTATTTCTCGTAATGCTGGAGATAATAATTGAAATAATTGGTCATCTGATTCTGGAAAAAGTTTATTGCGAAGCAATGGGGTCTCACCCCTAGGTTCTTTACTCAAAGATTTACATGAGCCAGCCTCTGGTTGTGATGTCTTATCTATTAGTGATAATATCCGTTTTTTTTTCATTTGAAGATTGGTTCACGTCAGAATTATTGTCATACCATATATTATCTTCTTCATTATATCCACTATTTTCTTCATTAGCTGAAAAGCTATAATTTATTGGTTGAAAAGGATAATATCGTTGTGTTCTATTTGATTTGGCTACAGGTTTTCTGGCTTGATTTTCAAGTACCATTTTTCCGAACTGAGATGTCATTTGACCAATTTCATCTACTTTCGATTCTATTCTATCCATTCTGGTAGATTGGTTTGTTTTTTCTACACGAGATCTTTGAAATGGTTCATTTGGATAAAATGTTTTATGATCATTCTCTCCAATAAGACCTAAATCTCTAAAATAATTACTCAAATAATAGTTTTGATAATCTTCATCCGTTTTTAAATTTGATGGTGGACCTTTAGGTTCTCTTATAGGTCGAGCTACTTCTGATTTCCGTTGTAATTTAGATTCTAACTTTTCTAATTCAGCTTTATGTTCAGCATCACGTTTTTCTATTACAGATTGAAATTCTGTTTTTTGTTGCAATAATGCATCTTGAAACATTTTTTGAATATCTTGAGATAAAGGCTGTGATGATATATTAACATCTTGTTGCTTTGCAATTGATTTTTTCTTTGACTGTACTTGATTATTTATATCTTCATTTAAATTTGGAACACGTTCTAGCCACATATTTTTTAATTCAGTGAAAAATGCATTAATGCCAGCTGGATTAGCAATTTTCATCCATGTATAAAGTTCACCTGGTAATTGATTTTTAAGAAAACCTAAAACTTGTTCATCATTGTCCGCTATACCTATTGTTAGTAGTCGAATTCTAGCTTCATAGGAGTCAGGAGTATCATAAGACTGAAATCTTTCTTGAGTCAATCTTTGAATTGCAGATTGTTGGCTACCTATTGTTTCTCTTTGATATTTGGCATTTAAATATCCCCGTAATGTTGCTGGAGTATTAATAGCAGGATTACCATGAGTAAAGGGATCATTAGCTGGTACTGGAGCAAATTTACCTCCTATTTTACTTTTTAATACATTGCATTTAACAGCATCATTAAAATCTCCTGCATTTGCAGTTTCAAGAGCCGTCATTTGAGGTACTGCAATAGACCATGCTTGTTCTAATGTATTTACATAATCATCAGGTGGCATTTGGCCTATATATTGTGGAATTGATTGAAAAGATTGGTATATCAATTTTAATACTGGTCGTCGTCTACCTTCTGCCATATTTTGTAGATTATTATTCTGTAAATTTAAAATTATTTGATTCTGATTTAAAATCGTTTGACGCTCATCTTTTGTTTTATTCTTCCATTTTTCATATCTATCAAATATTCGGTCACGGTTATATTCTAATAATCCATTTTCAGTACGACATGTATTTAACTGCCTTTTATATCGTTGTAAATTTATAAGATCTGTTTGAAGATTGTTGTATTTGTGACGTATCTGTCGTGTTACTCTTTTTATTTGATTGGATAAAATCGTTCTATTTGTTCCTGGAATATCCAAATAGCCATCAATAGTATCAGCTAACTCAGCTATTGTTGCCATTTCTTCTAATATATTACAGCCTGAGGAATTTATTCCTTCTTCATGTAATTCTTGGTTAACTTGCCATAATTTCTCCATGGTTATTTTTTACAGATTATTAATACTCGAAAGGAATGGATCAACCTGTAATTTATATTGACCCACAGAGGGCCCGCGATTTGGATAGGGAGATTATTCTACAAAAATTATACTATTGCCCTGAAGGTTATTACCAAAATGCTGAAAGATTACGAGATGTTTGTAAAAAAGCCGGCTACAGCTTTCCATTTACTGATGTAAAAAAATGGCTTGATAAGCAGGCGATATATCAGATTTTCCGCCCTTCACCGAAACATATACCTTATGCCAGCTACTCTAAAATTACGAAACCTAATACCGTGCACCAGTGCGATTTGATCGAAATACCATATGATGATATAGATACAAATTTACTAGGTGATGACCCAATATTTTACTATGTGTTATTAGTTATAGACTGCGCGACTAGATTTAAAGATTTTGTTTTTTTAACATCAAAAAGTAGTGAAGAAGTCGCGGAAGCATTTAAGAGTATATATGATAATTCCGATAAGCCTCTCAACTGGCCTCGAAAACTACAATGTGATAAAGGCACTGAGTTTATGGGATACGTGACTTTATTAATGGATGAGCATGGCGTTGAAATCCGAAGAATTACAGCACGTTTCAGGCATACAAGTTTAGCAATGGTCGATCGTTATGCTGGATTATTCGAATATAGAGTTTTTAAAAATCAGTATTCGGTAGAGTTTCTCTTACCTACTGGCGAACGTTGCAGGGAATGTGAACGATTTGCGAGAAGAATTGTTGATAATATGAATGATAGCCCAACTCGATTAATTGGAATGAGACCTAATGACGCTACGAAACTTGAGAGAGTGTATTCCAAACCATCAGTAAAATATAATCGTCCAATAGGTGTTGATGAACCCCAGTTGCCAAAATGTACCACTGTCCGATTTTTGCTTGCTAAAGGAGAATGGGAAAATGATCCTTTCGAACGGCGCAGAATAACAGATCCAGTATGGTCTCCCAGCCTACATAAAAT